GTTGCTGTATTACTCCCAGAAAAGCAATCCGTCAATCTACTAACAACCAGGTTACTGCTTGGTAAGCAGAGGTGTGTGGAGTAAGGAAACTTGCCTAACATTTCGCCTTGCCCAGAAATCAAACCCAGGTCCTCTCGCTTGCAAGGCGAGTGCTCCAACCGATACGCTACAGGACTCTGTAATAGTTCAATCATCCAGACTCCTTTAGCTCATTCCGCATTCCAATCCTGCAGTGACTAGTCTAGGATAACCCCCTCTTCCCACCTGCGTTTATCATTCCGCAGCCCCTTGAAGTCCATTTGCATTAGAGCAAATGAGTTGTAAGTACAGGCATAAAAGCCAGTGAACTGAAATTACATTTATTGCAGCAAAAGTCATTTACTCTGATGGGAGCATGCGGCACTCTGATAGTAAAAGCAAAATGAATTATTATTATCATAGGCATTATGTACTGAATCACAGCAAGCAGCACTTTGTCCGAACATTTCAGTGCCAAGAACTATTGAACTATAATTTGATCATTCTGCATTTAGGATATATTTCCTTTGCTATAAGAATGTAAGTCGTCATGTAACACTGTGCGTTTAAATCAGCCTCCGTCTAATCATTTGCAACCATAATTGGTTATTAAGTGAAGTAAATATCCTTTTGACCTCAAGATTTACACTGACAATGTGCACTCCCTCTTCAGAATTCTGCTTTTGAGAAGTATTATGCTATATTGCTGTTTACCATTGCTTTGTCTCCCAGTTTCGTGGCCGACAATCCCCCAGATAGAACCACAGATAGAATCATAGAATCTTACTACATAGAAGGATGCCATTCGGCTCATCGTGCTTGGGCCAGCTCTTTGGAAGAGCTACTCAATCAGTCCCACTCTCCCGCTCTTTCCCCATGTCCTTGCAATTTTTTCCTTTTCAAGTACCTATCTAATTCCCTTTTGAAAGTTGTTATTTAATCTGTTTCCACCATCCTTTCAGGCAGTGCCTTCCAATAAAATCAGTTATGCACTGCACAGCTGTTTGTGGGATGTCACCATGCGCAAATTTACTGCCTTGTTCGCTTACAAAATACACAGCCACGACACTTTACTGCATATCCTGTGAAGCATTTGATTTCCTCCGGACAATAAAGGCGCTGTAACAAATGTAAGGCTTCTTATTGTGCTACAAGGTTGTAGGTCGCTTCCCTATTTGCAAAGGAGCAGTGAGCTCTAAAAAGTGAGAAGTTCTAAAGATGAGTTGTAAAGTCGTGTATTTTGGTGACAGTTGTATAATTAGTCCTACATTTACATATCAATCAGTGGCTGGAAACAACTTGCAAACAAATACAATGGCAACAGAACAAAAACTAGGACCAGATAAAAAGCTTTTTGAAAATTTAGTTTGTTGATCAAGTTGGTTGCTCTTGTGCACTTACATATGAGCTGTTATGTTCCCCGACAAATACACAGTCACTCCACTTTAGCATAAAATCCCGTGAAGCGCTTTGAGATGGCCCGAGGACATTTCTGTGCAAGTTCAAAATCTCGACGTGGGGTTTGAACCCACAATTTGCTGACTCAGAAGGGAGAGAAAGTGCTGCCAACCGAGACAGGCTTTGTTACAGCGAAGGACAGGACACAGTGTCAGAGTCGCCTGGAGGCAGGAACGTGCAAAGGAAATGTCAAAACTGCTTAGAGAAAATTAGAAGTGCAAGCCTGTCCGCCAATGATACTCTCGCTGAAATACTCTGCCTCAATTAAAAGGTTATCTGGGCACAATGAGGAAAGTGGTCTTTAAATGTGAAATTGTTCAGTGCACAAGTGAGAGAAGCCTGTCTGCCAACTGAGCAAAGCAACACTGGGGAAATTAAGATCCTCCAGATGAAAGCTTCTTATGGAAGAGAAATTATAATTACAAGGATCGGTTGTGTGTGAGTCAGGAAATGTGGAATCTGCGAAGGGATACAAGTAAAATAAAGACTCCTTCAGGGATGAAATGGTCTGTTTTGCAAAAAAGAAAACTCCTGAGCTTGAAAATTTTTCTCCTCAAAGAGATTAAATGCTATCAGAAGCATCTTGTAACTCAAAAATTGCACTTCAGGGTTTCGCTCGGAGATCCATAATACCCGAGGAAGTACCTATAGTATTTACAGTGATCTCAGCCTTCTCTGTGTAAATCTGCTTTGTGTGCTTACGAAAGGAATAAAGTGTGTCTTAACTGTTATAGTGATGATCAGGGCTTCTGTTTCAAGACCAAATTAGATAGATTTCTGCTAGAAAATAATATCTCGGGATATAGTGCATAGTTTGGGATACGACATGTCAAGCGACTGACTGGATGGTGGTGGAAGGCAAACTAGATGGACCTTGGTCTTCTTTCACCCAGCAAATTCTTATGTTCTTATGTTCAAGGTGAGTCAAGGGCAGGTTTACACTCCCCATCTTAAATTGCTTTCCAGAACAAGACATTATTGTGTTGTATCTCACAGAGCTATTTCCAGGTCCACAAACTGAGCATCCTAACCATCACCTCCACGGTTTATTGTCTTGGATACATTTTGTTTGGGCTCAAAAAAGTCAAATCGCGTGAAACTGACCCAAATTCTTGAATTCAGTCTTCATTTTAAAGTGGGTTTTCTTACAAAGAACCGCAGTTTCCAAACTGGGTCCCAATCACCGGGTACGCTTCTGCCGATCTTAAACATCGAGGCAAAAAAGGCCTCGGAGTTCAAGACCAGGTGAAAATTCAAGGCTGCTGGTGGTTGGATGAATTAATAATCCTAAAAATCCTTGCATTTCTGACCATTCTTCACATATGAAACCTAGACTTTGTGGAGTCCTGTAGCTCAGTGGTTAGAGCACTCGCTTTGCAAGCGAGAGACCTGAGTTCAATTCCAGGCAGAGGGCGAAACCTTGGGCAAGTTTCCTGACTCCACACAGAGCCTAATAATAATCCCTCCAAAACCCGAAACAATAACAAATTGGTCATTTTCAATCTACGACTGTTTGTGGGACATTGCTGTGCGCAATTGGCTGCCGCGTTCGCCCCCAAATATACAGTCAATTCACTTTACAGTCTATTCTGTGAAGCGCTTTGGGACGTCCTCCCGACGTGAAAAGCGCTATATCAAATGCAAGGATTATTATTATTATTAGACAGTGAGCATCAGCTGTCAACTCACAAGCAAGCCTTGTCTTGCTCTCAAACGATATCTTGACACGTACCCTTGGTTGACTTTCCCCTCCCTTGCTAGGGGGGGGATGGGGGGTGGGGGGGAGGGGCTGCTGAAGCCAATTACAACATCCCTTATTCCCAGCCAACTAATTAAACATGATGCTTAATCGTTCATAAGTAATATTTAATCTCCAGCTCCATCCATTTCACAAAACAAAAACACGTTGGCAGATGGCTGGGGGCCTCCGCTGAATGGTTAGGTACCAGATCGAATGTAGGATCCATTTCAAATGTCTCAGCTATAGCAATGTTCCAATGTTTCACCCCGTCTCCATCCCTTGGGTCCTCCCCTCTTTCAGTTTATAGCAATGTCACCAGTGCAAATCCTGGATCAAACAGCTGGTGGTAAAGGAACCAATTGCCTTTGAACACATGATTGTTCCAGTCTCTCATTGTAAATGTTTTTAGCAACAAGTACTGACCACTTTTGACCTCGATGTTGTCCGGGTGAGAATCACCTCTCACAAATAGACAATGACACAATGAAGTAGTTTGCAGTCGTCAAGCACAATCTCTGACCACACAGTTCTCCTTAGCTTTGCAGACAGCACATTGCAATAACACTGCAGTGAATATTGTGTGCACTATAACAGCAAAAACAGCAACAACTTGCATTTATATAGCTCCCTCATGTGGTAATAGCATCTCAGAGTGCTTAACAGGGACTTGGACCACGACTTTGCCGGGGAGAGGGGAAAGATGGCTGTAAACACGGTCGAAGAGGAAGATCTTCAGGTGTGATTTGAGGATAGGGAAGGCGGAGGCAAGGCAGAGGGATTGAGGAAGAGAGTTCCATAGTTTTGGAGAGCAGTAGTTAAAGCACGGCCGCTAATGATGGAGCGGAGGGGCAAGGGACCTCACAGCGAGCCTCAGACAGAAACCAAGGTTAGGTTTGACAATAGTTTATGCAACAAGCAAATATGTGGCTTCTTCTCTGGACACACCAAGTGGATAGCAATTGTTGAGCATTTACCAGCCCTGCTAAGGTCTTTGAGTCCCAATGCTGTACCCTTGCCAACCAATATCTAATCCCCTCTAGAATCAGGTGAGCAAGTTGCATTCCTCCAGGGAGAGAGAGAGACACTGGGACATGTCCATTCTTCGGCAGCATACACACATGGAGCTCTCGGTCTGGTTTGGATACGGTGATGGGTTTACTGAAGAACACAAGAGTTTGTTAGGCGAAAGAATACCATCTAGTTCGCCTTCCACCATTCTGTCAGTGCTTGACATATCGTGTCCCAATCCATACACCGTATCCCGAGAGATTATTTTCTAGCGGAAGTCTATCTCATTTGTTCTTGAAACAAGTGACATTTTCTGCTTCCACCGTCTCTCTAGGGAGCCTGTTCCATAAGTTTACTGCTCGCTCACAGAAGTAGTGTTTCCGCAGATTTGTTCTGAATTTACTGCCCCTTCAGTCTTGGGCCGGGTTCCACGCGTGTCGGACACCCGGCTGACCCCGTGTAGATTTTTTTAAAACAAAGGTCATATTGGCAATCGTGGCAAATTGACTTGCAAATAGTTTCCTTGGAATCCGAGCAGCCTGAGACGCATGCAGTGTGGGTACCTGCAGAGACTGGCTGTTTGCACGTCAATTTGCAACAATCCTAAATCAGACCCCAATTATCGATGCGTTAATTGGGGTTCCCTTCCCCCTCCACCCCCTCTCTCCCCTCGCCAGAAAGCATCACTCGAGCTGGAGTCGAGCAACTTTTCCCCCCAAATACGACGGTTTTTTTCAACGTTCCACAGAGCAGAAGTATTAATGAGACGTTTTACCTGCAAGACAGCCAAGGAATGATAGCAGCAATAGGTATTTCCATAGCAACATCATCTCCGGTTGCCAAGGACGAACAAGGCTCTTGTAAATCACCAGCGGATGGAAGACTTCCTCTTTAAAAGGCAGAACCTCTGATCTGCGTGGGGAGGGTGGAGAGGGTGGGGGAGAGAGAGACAGATGGAAAAGAATTAAGCGCAAGGTAATCTGCTGAGGTTCTGCCCACATTCAGAATACACCAAGGACAACGCTATTTTCGTTCAGCTGACCAGATTATAAACAATTGATTTGGTCATGATAAATAATCCTTAACATTTCCTTGCATTTGATGCAGCGACTTATCACCTCGTCGCGACGTCTCAAAGCGCTTCGCAAAATGTAACGTCAAGCGAATTGGCCGCGTACTTCGCGGGAGAAACACGGCAGCACAAACAAGTTGTGAACAGTTGTCATCAATAACTCCTGCAAATGATTACGACACAGTACGTGTGTGTGTGTGTGTGTGTGTGTGTGTGCATTTAAAAAAAAGAAATATATATATAGCAACTAAGCAGGCCTGTGACAGGAAAGGCAGGCATTGGCTGGATGTTGCTTGTCCTCTGCCTGAATACGGAGAGGAAAACATAAGGCTGACCCATCGAGGACCGCACGAACAGGACGTCCCCAGGGAGGGGGGGGGGGGGGGTTGTTGTTAAAGCACTCGTCACTCCAGAAATGCTAAAGTTTTCAAGTCACTGACCCGAGGCTATTAATAACTCATTTTATAAAGGCAAATGACTGTTTGTGCCGCTGTGCGCAATTGGCTGTGTTTCGCCCACAAAATACAGAGTGAATCCACTTTACAGTATATCCTGCGAAGCGCTTAGCGTCGCAAAGATGTGCTCAGGTATTGTATCAAATGCACGGATTGTTATTATTAATATTGTATTCTGGGTGGATGTTAAAAATCCTGTGGCAGTATTCAAGAAGGGAATTTCTCCCAGTAAAATTTGCACATCACACGTCTTTTGGGGATCTTGCTGGGCGCAATTTGGCTATCCTGTTCGCCTACAAATAAGCAATCACAATGCTTCACTCAAAATTTGTCGAGGGCTTTGAGATGTTTTGACGATGTGCTAAGGCGCAGTGTCGAATGCAAGGATTATCATTACGGAGCTCAATTGTACAAGCAGCTGAATTAACCCGCACAGCTGATAGCGAATCACCTCCAGGTTAATTGCATGCGTTTGCACAGATGTTCGTTCACCTCCCTTACACTTAAGGAAGACGAGATCAAAAAATTGTTTCGACTTATTTTACAAATTGTAAATTGGCACAAAATCAGAGTCGGGGGAACGACATCAAACACAGCACTTCAGCCTCTCAGCTCTCACACCGCGATGTCTCACACTGATCATGGCTGGAAAGGTACAGAGACGCACGGGAAATGCAGCCAAAGCAGTTTCAGGTTGTATCTTACATTCAGGTGCAATACTTTGGAGATCATGCCCTCATTAGCGCTAATGGGTTGTGCCTGTATAATTGGGATCTCGATCTTCTACGCTTTTATTGTTTGAAAAGCACTCTCTGTAGACCAGCAAAGGAGAATCACCTTTCCTTTAGCAATTTCTCTCTTGCCACTTGTTTCTTTTATTCGTTCCTTCGCTCACCCAGTGATTGGAGGGGGGGATGTCAGGGTTGAGGAGTAAGGGAGCTATAATCAGTCTCAGTATCTCCTGTCGAGGTTACGGGATGGGGAGGGTTAACGAGTGAGGACACTTGCTCCTAATTACTCCGCGGTAACCCCTGCTGGATAGCAGCGGCTCCAAGTTACCGTGTAACCCGATGCCTTAAAACTTTGTGCAGAGTTTTGCAAAGTCTTAGAAAAACTTTGGCATTGATTTGTTTGCTGGTTTAGATGGCTCTTTTATAAACCTCCGAAGTGTGACTGAGGTTGCCACTCTGAAGACTTTGCACCATCCTGGGTCTCGGGACAAAGGTCTGAGATCTTAGACCTGGGCGAATTTCAGGCCGAACGGTCCCTTTGTCCAGACTACGGCGAAAGCGCTGGCGTGACACAATTCGTTCCTCTCTTGGTGTCAGCGAGCAGCGTGAACAAACAGGGGGAATGAATGCGATCCCTGAACACATCTTTTATAATGGCCACTGATTGCAATAAGCATAATTACAAATTAAACTCAATTCTCCCTCCTTCCCCCACCCTCGCCCAGCTGGAAGTGGGGGTGGGTGGGGGGGGGGGGGGAAGAAAAATGAATCGGATTAAGCTTTGCCGAGTTCTGTCTTAAACAAAGCCCCGAACCGTAATTATTGTATCTTTAATTTCGGAGACAAACATATCATTTTGATTACACAGATCAGAGCAGTACAATCACACGCTCATACTTCATTAATCCTTTTCCAGGAGGCAGCCACTGATCTTCATGGAGGACGCAGTGATTTTCCAGTCTCCAGTGGCTTTATTGCAAAATAACCTTAACTCCATTTGCTCTCTAGTTTTAATAAATAATAATCCTTGCATTTGATATAGCGCTATTGAGAGGTCTCAAAGCGCTTCAGGATATACTGGAAAGTGGATTAACTTTTATTTTATTTTTATTGGGGGATTGTTGGCCAGGACACCAGGAGAAATTTCCTTCTCTTCTGAATAGTCCCATGGGATCTTTTACATCCACCTGAACAAATGGGCACTCGGTTTAATGTCTCATCCGGATGACAGCACCTCCGACAATGCAGTGTTCCCCCAACACTGCATTAAAGTTTCAGCTTAGACTAGGTTATTCCAACTAAGTTATTGTCCAGTCGATAATGAAACAGTGAATTACACTGTTAATAATAATAATAATAATCCTTGCATTTGATATAGCGCTTTTCACGTCGGGAGGACGTCCCAAAGCGCTTCACAGAACACACTGTAAAGTGAATTGACCGTATATTTGTGGGCGAACGCGGCAGCCGATTGCGCACAGCAATGTCCCACAAACAGTCGTAGATTGAAAATGACCAATTTATTATTGTTTTGGTTTTGGAGGGATTATTATTAGGCTCTGTGTGGAGTAAGGAAACTTGCCCAAGGTTTCGCCCTCTGCCTGTTCCACCATCAGTGGCCGTGCTTTCAGCCACTCCGCCCAGAAACTCTGGAACACTCTTCCTCTATCCCTCCGTCTTGACCCTTCCTCCCCCATCTTCAGGTCACGACTGAAGACCTTCCTCTTTGCCCGTGCCTGCAGTCACCTCCCTCCCCCACCCCCCCCACCCCCCACCGGCTCAGCGCCGTGCTCCGCCACTGTCAAGCGCTCTGGGACGCTACCCGGTATGAGCAGCGCCGGTAGACGCGAGTGGTTGTTGTGCAAAGGAACCTACATTTAATTAGCAGCCGTCACCTCTGCAGGACGTATCAAAGCGCTTTAAACAGCAGGAAGTTGCATCCGAGCTGGGACTGGGAGCTGAGAGAGTGGGTCCAGAGAAGGAAGGGGGAACTGGCGAAATGCTGAGCGTTTAACAGCTTATGTAAATAAACTCTGCCTAGGGAAGTCCCTGCTCCACTCCGCACATGTCAAGTGGTCACACTTTGATGAAGTGAGCCACTAAACTTGGTGCTGCAGTGCACTGTAACACTTATGTCCCAATGTGATGAAATGCAATCTCTCCTGAGCTCTGTGAGGCATCATCACCGACACTGCCATTGTATACTCACTCTTCTACTTCCTCCCCCATCTCCGCTCGGTTAACTGGGGCCTGTCAGACGTCTCCTGCCCCACATCGCCCCCACTCTCTCTTTCTCTGGAACTCCCTCCCTCAACACCTGGAGGGGTGGAGGGTGGGGTGGGGGGGGGGGGGGTGGACGGGTAGGGGTAGGAGGTAGACCGAAGGCACGATCGAAGAGGAGGGTCTTGAGACGGGTCTTGAAGGAGGCGAGGGAGGGGGGGGGGCGTGATGGAGGGACTGTGGGAATGGAGTTCCAGAGGGTAGGGGCAGAGAGGGTGAAGGCCCGCCCGCCAATGATGGGGCGGGCAAGGTGGAGGACGTGAAGCAGGCTGGAGCCCGCTGAGCAGAGGGTATATATTTCTCCATTTCCATCGCACTACAACTTAGTACAGACAAGTGAGGAGGGGGTGGAGGGGCACTGAAGACAGTATAACTTGGGCGACCTGCGTGTATTGACAGGTTAAGTGGGGCTGTCATTACTGCGCCTTCTAATTGGCACAGCAATGATCAATTCCATCAGGTCCGCTGCCAGTTACCATGGAGATGACGGCCAGTCAAGAGAGAAGAAAGAACACACAACAGCAATGACACCGCCAACAAGCAAGCAAGCCTTCAGCGAATCACAACAAATCCGTCTCCCTTTCTCACCGACAGGAAAATCACACTTAAAACCGAAAAGCCAAGTCGAATTGGCTGCTGGAAATGAAACCGAGTCGGTGAAAGAAACTGAGAGCTTATCTTTCCGAACCGCGCAGCACGACACTTAAAACCCATAAACTTTAAGTACCGCTTCGAGTTGCTTAAGTGCCAAGGAAATGTCTGCGTAAAAAAAAAAAATCTAACGGTGGGCGCTCGAATATTCTACAGTCCTTATTTCCATAGAGCTCGGTCTTGGTGTTTGCTCGTCGGTGTCTACTCACGACGATACAGTAAAAGAAAAACACAGGCCAAGCTGGAAGGGAAGGGAGTCGGGTGAATATGTTTATTGTCTGGCTGTGGTGAGGGTTTCTTTCCAGTCATTCCAAAGGGACGAGAAAAAAAATAATTCAGACTTGCTCTGCAGTCACCCTAGTAACACATTAGCATATGAACAGAGAGTACATCGGTGCATTTCAGTACATACTCAGCACTGAACCCATGGGAACTGGCTTTTTATATATATATATATTTATCAGCCGTGTACAAAACACTGTAGTGATGCTCACCTTTCCCTCTCTACCTCCCCTAACCCTCCCCCACCCCTCCCAACCCCACACCCTTCACCCCCAAAGTATGGTCAACACGTCGCTGATACATATTGCTGCAGATGAGTGAGCAAGCGGAGAGCAAGGCAACCATTTCCTTTATTCCCCCCTAAATGGTATCAATGACCCTTTTATTTGTAATGATAAGAATAATCCTTCTGACCTGAGACGTTAACTCATTTTCCTCTCT